GCTGCCACCCCACGAGGGCACGGTGTGGTGTGGGTTTGCAGGCCTTGTTAGAGTAAGGAAGAGGTATAGTCGCCACCCCACCACTGCCTTGTTATGGCCACCATTTGAGGATGTAGCCCATCTCTGGGGGGTGCAGCTCCCCAAAGGTTTGTTTCCCAGGCCTGCAGGCAGCAACTTCTGCCACTGGTGCCGTCTTGTGAAAAGCAGTGTGCGGGGAGGGTGTGTACGCTGGTAGGAAACGGGCACATCAGAGATGCTAGGAGCACCGCAGCGGCTATCATCTTTCAGGGCTGTCATGGGGGTGGTTGTGGCCAGCGGCAACTTCCACAGATGTGTGCATCAGCCTCTGGAGCTCTGTGTTGGAGTAGTGCAGATATTGATAAAGCTCTGAAGCTTTCCAGGCAGGGGTGACAGAGGAGGTGCCTCACAAGGATGTTCCTGCTGCAGTAAGGCCTCAGGAGGGTCTGAGGCTCGCAGCTGTAGCAGATCCTTTCTTGGGAGGTTGTGGTTCTGGCAGGCGATGTCTCAGGGGGGTGGTGTTAGCACCTGCAGCAGTGGTAGGGTGTGAAGACTTGCACTGCAGATGGCATTCCCTGTGGATGCAGGAGGGACACGTGCTGGAGGGGCACAGGGGGACAGAAGTGCAATCGCTTCAATGTCATGTTATTCGTGCAAAATACATTCTGATCTAGGAAAAAGCCAGAGCGTTTTTAAGGTCTTTGGGGGATTTATTGGTCTGCTAAAACCAAAGGAGAGGGGGGAGCTGAAGCATGAGGGGAGTGGAGAAGCTGACAAAGATCAAAAGATGAGGAGAATCACAAGTGCTGCAGGATTTGGTCTCTGTAATACTGAAAATGCAGAACTGGGAACTAGCTGTGTATCATTTGCAGCTCTGAAAGTGAAAGGATGTGCTGGGCTGGAGTGGAACAGCAGAAGGAGATTTACTAGCAATGTGGCAGCAGGTGTATGCTTCTTTATCAGTTTCTCCCTCTCCCTGTGTTTTCAGAAGTGTTCATAAACTTACATAATCTTTTTATGTCTCCAGTAGTATTCACAGTTAGGGTCCCCAATATTGCTAATTATGATCTCCAAAACCTA